AAAAATCGGACTGAGAATAACATTTGAGATATATTATTGGGGAAAAATATGCCGAGGTTGAAATTGTGAGAATGTTAAAGTTTTTGGTTGATAATGTCGTTTTTGAGATCAGTGGCAAAATCTTAAAATAGAGTACATGCAATTCCTTGACAATGACCCGTTACTCACTTCTGGTCGACACGTTGCTGTTACCTTTTTAGGCTAAATTTATTGAAGAATGTCTCAGGACTAGTAAAACAATCAGATATAATGGTAATGTGTTGTCTTTACAAAATAAAACATTTACACACCTGTTGTTTTTCTTTTTCATTCCCGTTCTTATGTTACATCATGGTCTACAGCGTCGGCATCCGACTAAGCTATAAGATAAACCTTACTGGTCTTAACACTTACGTAGCTGCTTCCGAATCCTATGGTGTTTACATTTAGCAGTTGTTGTTCCGGTATACGTTCTGCACTATCGTTTTAAATTTCGACGGCTTACGTACAAAACTTACAACGCAGGACTTCCAAAGATACAGGTTGATGACGAAAATTGTTCTATGGTCCCAAATTACGATTTTGACAGAAAAATATGCATATTGGTTTTTTTGTGATNTGTCTTTGAACTGTGGGAGAAATAATACATAATAAATCCAAAGTATGTACCGAACAAATATTTAAAGATGTAGATTGATGACGAAAATTGTTCTATGGTCCCCATTGTTTTGTGTGATAATCAAGATCCATTGTGTCATGCCCATTAGTAAGCCTTGTTGTTTTGTTGTCGCTAAGGGTACGTGTTATACTTGGGTTTTCCCATGATTTAAATTTACCATACTGCAACACCTGAAGGACGTATATTTACATTCTTTGTTGCATGTGCCTATATGTCGTTAGTAAACCAAATGTCAGTATATGAGACTGTATACTGCAATTAACAGTGATTCGGTCAGTGTAGGAACATACATGACCACCAGATACTTTCGGTATCAATAGGCCTATAGTCAGATAACTTTCTGGGTTCGTTAGCATTTCGCAATGTAGGTCATCGCAAAAAATAAAGTAACTTGACAAATTATGACAATATGCATTTATTATAAAATGTGTAGGTACCACCAAATTATTGTAAGCGCCATTCTAGATACAAAATTACCGAGTTCGTCAACGTAATCACACAGGGGGTTCGGTTTCGAGATTTTGAGTTATGCATAACATCAGTAAATAATATCAACACTAAAATGCAGCATTTATAAAACCTTGTAAAGTAGACGGTATCGACAAGGTTTTAGAATGTTGTCGTTCTTCAGTGATGTCATCCATCCTTCAATTTCACGAAACAGAACCCCTGTGAACGCCATCTGTTAGCGATGCTAATCTGACCGATTAGACATGGAATCTGTTTCAAACAAAATGTCCTTAGAATCGTTATTACCTACTGAAAGGACCACTTTAATTAAAAATGTCCGAATGTATATGCTGCTGAAAATAACGTAATATTCCTGTCGATGGAAACATAAGCGTTTCCGAGAATACAATACAGTCCGTTCAGCGCCGCATCACTTCCAAATGCATGTAACATATCATTGCGCGAAAAAAACAGCTTTAATTTTAAACAAGCAGAAGTTATGATTATTAACATTTTTTCAACATATACACACTCACATGAAATAAATAGTAAAGTTAAGTTTGTGGTCAAACCATTTTTATGTGCTTGTGGTTTGCAATGACACCAGGGACTATATTATTTCTTCTTCAAAGTTCGGATGTTCTTGAATTTGAACTTACTGACGTCACTGATATGATTAGCGGGAAATTCAAATGTATTTTGCTTCAGTTACTATACAAAACAAACTATATAAATGTAAATATA